CTCAAATAATTAAAAATATATAAATATATTGAAGTTAAAAAGAGAAAATTTCTTATAGAAGCACCCAAGAAGCAAAATAACGTTGCATTGATGAATTTATGAGTTGACAATAATAATAATATTATTATTATGTTATATTTTGTTTTTTTATGTATATACACATTTAATTTGTATCACATGATTTGATCATAAGTTCAATTTAGCGGATCTCTCGATTTAACGGATAAATTTTCTGGAAAAAAATATCCGTTAAATCAAGACTCACTGTGTACTCCTAAAGCTCCAAACGGTTCAGTTCGGTTCGGTTTCGGTTTATAAAAAGTCAAACCGAACTTTTTCGGTTTGGCTGGATCTTCATATTTATATTATGAAAAGTTTCATTGATAGAAGATTGGGGTGTACGATGGACTAATGTAGATCAAAACTAATTGACATCATATATAAAATTTACTAATTAACTTTTTTTCAACAAATATAAAAATAAAAATTGCATCCTCTCCTTCAAAAAAAAAGATACAAGTATGAAATTAAGAAAAATCGTAATAAATGTGATGCTGAAGATTGTGACAGAGAGTTTTTTTTAATTTTATTAGTAAAATCATCCAAAATGTCAAAAATACTGTTAAAACTTTGAAACGTATAGGCTCAATAACCAAACAAGTTAGAGTAAAAAAATTTCCATAGTTTTTTTCTCTGTGATTCAAAGAATAGCCTGACAGAGAGTTTTTTTAAAAATTATTAGTAGAACAAGGATTTATAAGAATTCAAAGTTGTGCGATTTTATTAATAAAAAAATTTTTCGATTTTTTTTTCTGATAATCATTTCCTTTTAAGGAAAACGCAAAGTCTTTTTCTTAATAATAAGAAATGTAAGAATCGTAAAAAATAAAATATTCAAGTTTAAATAAATAAAATGCCAAAGCCCAATAAAAGAAAAAGACTAATTCATAATGCACGTGTGGTCAAAAAAATGAAAACTTCCTCAGAACCTTTACTCCTTATTGAACAAGAAAATAATGTTCCAATACCATTAAGTAATAAGGCTCTAGAAGTAAAGCAAAAATTAATAAACAAAATCAATTTATTACCAGAAAAACAAATCTTTGCATGTTCTACATTGCTCGAAATTATGGTTTATCCTGATGGTATTAATAAGGGTGAAATTATTTCATCATACCTACAAAAAAAGGCACTAAATTTAGTTCTATCAAATCGGGGAAAACAAGATTCTAGTGCCACAGGGATCCAAAATAAAATAAAATTATTAAAGAGTGAAAATGAAAAGTTGACTAAGAAAATTGAATCAGCTACTTCGAAGAAGAGAACTCTGGCCATCAAACTAAAAAAACAAGAACAAAATAGAGATCTTTATATTTCACGAATGAGATCATTAGTTTCGAAAAGAAAAAATGTATCAGAAGGAGAGATCCAAAAAAATATAACAAAAAAGATTAAA